GGGATTTCCCCAGGAAAAAGAATAGAAGGACAGAGATTATGATGTTGCTTGTAGTTTAAATTTGTGACTTTGCCTTCTGCTTCCCTGGTTCCTTTTGTACTTGCTGAGTAGATACTATGTGTGGATTAAAAATGTAAGAACACCAAGAAAGGTAGACGTTCTTTCTTCAAAAAAAAACCAGTTTTCGTCAACAATAACAGTATCCTTTCTCAGACCCATGTAAAACAGTTTTGTGGAATTAATCAAAGGAAATTTACTTATGGACTTCAAGTACCCATCCCCTTAATTGAGGGTAGGAAAACCACAAAAGGCCCCGCTGGGATTCGAACCCAGGATCTCCTGTTTACTAGACAGGCGCTTTAACCAGCTAAGCCACGGAGCCAACACGCCAGCTTCCGCTCAAGTCGGTAGGGAAAAGGAAATACCTATGCTTTTGTTTGGTGCATCATGTTTTCTTGTCATGAGGGTCAGGAGCAGCCCAGACGCTTGCCCAGAGCCTAAAAATGAATCTCCGTTTCGCCCCCAAAGACCTAAGAAACAGCGCAGCTGTAGGAAAACTGAGCCCCCTTCGTGCTGGGTGGGGCCGGGGACACACCGGCGCGGGAGAGGACCAGGGGCGGGCACAGGCCACATTCACACAAAGACACGCCTCCGGGTCGTGTGACTCATTGACACCAGGACACTTCCAGCACCAAGTACTGTTCTATTAGGTTCTCTACTTCACGGTTTTTTATTAAAATTCCAGTCACTCCTTACCCCGTGTCTTTCCGCAAAATTGGGTTCCATCTGCCTGCTTCTAGCTTAAAATGTCAGCCTATGGAATTTCAGAATTGCACCTTAAAAACACCAGGCTTCCTAATTAAAACCTAGTATTGGAAAGAAGAAAAAGCGGTTCCCTCCCCTCTGCAGCTTCAGAGAGAGAGACGCTTTCTTGTCCTAAAACTTGTCCAAAGGATCTGTTTTGATTAAGATGTCAAATTGAGAGCAATACAAGAATGTCTACTTTGTCATGTGGGCTTTTTGTATCTGTAACTGTTCCCAAAGTATTCTGCTCTCTGTAAAATAAATCTGTCCTTGGGAATATAATTTGAACACAGAACTTTAGTGAAATTCTGAGCTGTTTACAAATTGTTGCCATAGCTGTGAAAGTATCTTCCCAAATGAAACCTGTAACTATGATTGGTTGTCTTGCTTGATATCTGTTGTCACGAAATCAACATTTCAGTATTTCTAAACTGTACCTATATTTGAAGGATCTCTCTGTCACAGTATAAGGCAGCCATTGGCACTTACCTGGGCCTACATACATGATGGTGGGGCATGACTGTGCTAGATTTCTTATTTTCATAAAAAGAGTGAAAGTCTATGAACTCAACATGTTGTCTAATTGAGACTCCGTAAAATAAGCACCTATTTCTTTACTATTATGAGCCATCACATTATTAATGTGCTTGGAACCAATATAATCATAAACAGCACAGTCACACTTAGCATGGCTTTGATCAAACTGGGGCAGACATTCAGAAAGACGCCAGGGTCAACAGTATCTGGTTTGGGGTTTCCTTCGACTGGCAGCCGTCAAAATTTGCACAGGAATTTTGGGAAGTCAAAGGAGTTGTTTAACAAGCCAGAGACAAGTCTTGAGAAAAAAAATGAGACTTAGAGCTATCATTTCCAGAAATCTGGGTGTGAACCCTATCTTCTACTCAATTCCCAGTGTGACCATCAAGGACCATGGAAAAGCCCTTCCCAGTTGCTTTGTTCCACACCTCTAAAATTGGAGAAGGTACAGATCACTGTGTCGCACATGCTGACAGTAACAAAGAAACGTGAGAGTGGCAGACAGTGCCATTTTCCACATGCTTGGGAGAGAAACTGGCAGCGGGTAGTCTGTGAACTTAGATAGGATACTATAATTTTATTTTGACTACTTAACAATAGCTGAGCTTTTGTATTTTCTTCCATTACAATGAATATAAGAGGCAACAAATCACAGCTGTGCTTTTGACTTTACTACTATTGGACATCACAAATATTTTCAAATCAAATTTGATTTGTTGCAAGTTTCTTAAAATATCATTATGCTCATTACTGCTTTGAAATTTCAGTATTTATAAGACCTACAGGACATTGTCATTTAGTGCATTAATAAAGGGACATGGATATTACTATATCATAAGTTTTTAATATTTGATAACATATTTCAATATAATTGGTTTACCTTTGAAATCTTATGTATTTATCATATATATATATCATATATATCTGTTTTGATTAAGATGTCAAATTGGGAGCAATACGAGAATGTCTACTTTGTCATGGGGGCTTTTTGTATCTGTAACTGTTCCCAAAGTATTCTGTTCTCTGTAAAATAAATCTGTCCTTGGGAATATAATTTGAACAAAGAACTTCAGTGAAATTCTGAGCTGTTTACAAATTGTTGCCATAGCTGTGAAAGTATCTTCCGAAATGAAACCTGTAACTGTGATTGGTTGTCTTGCTTGATATCTGTTGCTTGATATCTGTGATATGTATATATTATATATATTATTTTGTGATGGAGTCCATAACCCCCAAACTGCCCTAGGGGTACACCATACAAAACCTATTCAGAAGACCCGTGTTCTTTTGTCTAGGGAAGAATCCATAATTAGGTCTACTTTAAAGTTTATGCAGGAACATATGTATTTTTCTTAAAGACTGTTGCAACCTTACCAACTGTAAACAAATATTTTCTAATTTCATTGTATATATTCTTAATGTCAGACAATTTTACTCCATTTGTTTATTAGCCCTCAACTTATTTACAATGCTCACCAGGCATGGGAATAGTGGTTCCTTCTCACAAATACAGAGAGGCTGAAACGCACACAATCAGAGACTTATGTGCTTCCTGAGAAAACATATAAGTGAGCATTCACGTGTGTGAGAGCTGGCGGAAACTTTTAAAGGTGTCCGATTCTGAGATGTAGGCCCTGCGGTCAGAGCAGCGTGCACGAGGGTGCTTAGCACAGAGTCTTGCTTAGTAATTATTTGAAATCAAAACATTTTAACGACCCAAGAAGAGACAAGAAAGTCAGATCATGCTATTCTGCAACTGCCTCCAGTTTTCTACTGAAACAGCCAAAGCCCTTACAAAGGCCTGCCAGTCGGGGGGTCATGTCCCGGTCTCCTGCCCCTCCCACGTTGAGTCTGCACCAGCTCTCTCACGTTACTGGACCTTTCCCAGTCCGCTCCCAGCTCCAGGCCTTTCCCTAGAGATGCCCTGATTCCAGATCCCTCTTCTACCCGATACCCGCATTTCTCTGTCCTCTACACATTACCCACTGGGCTTTCCTATTTCCTTTCCCGGTTTTTGTTTTGCTTTTCTCCAAGCGCTCATTATCATTTTATTTATTGAACGGCAATATGGGTGAAACAGTGCATTGCGGGGGAGAGGTGATGCTGGGGCTCGCCTCTGCTAGCAAAAACCGTCAAGGAAAAAGCCAGAGCTCAGAAATTCCAGACCTGTAGAGAATGTTTGAGTTTATTTGAGCCATACTCTCGACATTGCGGGCAAGCAATATATCAAGTGCTCCGGAAAATGACAGTTTTGCAGTATCTTTTGTGCATTTGGAATTAGGAAAGGAAAGTAAGGTTGCATGAAGGTGGGAGAAAGCAGGGTGCAGAACAGTTAACAAGACCATGTGCTCCTTGGAGGGTGGTTACCCCTCCGAGAGGCCTGAAAAAGAGGATCGCTTCTGGCATTTCAAGGGGTGTAAACCTGGATGTACAAGGACAGTGGATAGGGCTTGCTCAAGGCCAAGATAACCTTTTACTAAAAAGTTATGGGCCTGGGGCCTGACGACCCCATGACCTGCCCAGTTAATGGCTGGTGGTCAGATTACCCTGTGTGCAGGGAAAAGGTGCACCCAGTCAGCTGCTGAATGGGGCGTGTGCAGCAATCAGGCTTTCAAACAGCATTGCCCATTTGGCAGGGGAGAGGGCTCCGGGCAGGCACCGCCGCCTGATTTCTGATGAAGAAAAACCCATCGCCCAGCATAGCACGTGGGCCAGTGGCGCAATGGATAACGCGTCTGACTACGGATCAGAAGATTCCAGGTTCGACTCCTGGCTGGCTCGGTGGGCGTGTTTACTTTTTACCTCTTAACATCCGCGGACAACGGAGGAGGTAGTGCAGTGGAAAGTGCATACCGGGCAGGCAGCGGCGCTATCAGGAGCAGTAGGGGCGCGAGCGCTGTCCACGCAGCGCGCTCGCCCTGCCAGTCACTGGGCCGGAGGGTCCGTGTGAAGTAATCTTAGGCAAAGGGGAAGCAATTAAAAGGTGGTGATTCAGATTGATGAGTAATAATGATAGATTATGTGTAACGATTAGACCCTCTCTTTTGCGTTCCCGCATCCGATAATTTCCGGTATAAATGATTAAGGATCTGATTTCACACCACTGCAGGGCTTGAGGAGCTGCCTGCGCCTGCGCAGAAGATGGGAATAGGCGCAGGCGCAGGCGCAGACGCAGACGGAGCGGGCGTGAACGGCCGGTGGAAGTGCTGACTTCTGCAACCCGTCCTCATCGCGTTTCCGTAGTGTAGTGGTTATCACGTTCGCCTCACACGCGAAAGGTCCCCGGTTCGAAACCGGGCGGAAACAGCTTTTCCTCTTTGTCCCTGTAGAATGAATTCCTAGAAAATGTTTTATTCATTTTTTAAATTTCCACGCTCTCATAAACACGTTCCCCTCCTTTTCTTGTCTCGCTCGCCCCGGGCCGTGGTGCTGAGGCGGGTGTAGTGTCTGGCGGCCGCGGAGACCGACCCACAAACGCGAGGGGAGCAGCGGCTCCCGGCCCCGCCGCACGGCGGCCCGAGCCCCGGAAGCGCATCCTCGGCTCCCGGCCTTCCTGTCGGCGGACCCAGGCCCGCGGCTGCTCCGCGTCCCAGGCCCGCCGGCCCGACCGCCGAGGGTGCTGCCTGGAGACTTGGTGAGTGCGGAGCCTCCAGGCGCGTCCCCGGTGGGTGGGTACCGGGTGCTCCTGCTGTGTGGCCCTGGTGGCGCCCACAGCGCCGGCCTCCTGCCTCCTGTCCCCGCGCTCTGAGTGCGCCGCGGGACGGCGGGGTCGGGTCAGGCCGAGGTCGCAGGTCCGCTGCGGGGCGTAGGTGGGGAAGTCGCGGCAGGCCGTCCCACCCTCGTTTCGAGGTGTCAGCTGTGAGTCACCCCCACGGAGGGGACACAGAGGGCCCAGTGTCCGTTCCTCCACTGTGGTCGTCTGCTCTCCCCGTCAGAAAGACAGAAAGAGCCCAAAGTTAAGAAATGGACCAGCTGCGGACGCCGCACAGGACCGTGCCGTTTACAGCAGGACTTGCGCCCTAAGTTTGGCCGCTGACATTGACCTCTGTGGGGCGCGGGGTCGGCTTCCACGTTCACTGGGTCAAGCAAGCGCTTTTCCCGGAAGGCGTATTGATTGTTTCAGCTAACATCACAGCCTCAGCCGTATCCTCAGGATGTCCCCGTAGAGGTGCCATCGCCACCGTCGCTGGTGTTTCCATCGCCGTTTCCCACGGCCGGGGCGCTCAGATCCCAGGGCTCAGGTCCCCTCGAGTGCCTGACGTGAACGTGACGTTTTTATGGCCGTGAGAAGAGGAAGGGCAACCCTTAGCTAAACCGTTTTCTTTCTTCCTTTCTCCTTTTCCTTTCCTTTCCTTTATTTTTCTTTTATTTTTCTTCTTTTGTCTAAACAGGCCGCTTGTGCACCGCTTTCTCTCCCAGCCCTGTGACTGGTCCGTCTTCACCCCTCCTCGGAAGGCCATGCCTTTCCCACCTTGCGGGGTCCCTTGGTCTTGGGCATGTGCTCAGTAGCAATTTGTCTAAGATATTTTTTAATTTAAAGCCGCCTTTCTGCCACTCAGAAGTACGAGCGCGTTCATGCGGGGCCCTGAGGGGAGGCTGGGGTCGCGGCCGGCGAGGACGGTGCGCCCTCCGTCCCACCCTGGCGCCGGGGGACAGCAGCGCCTCCATGGGGAGGCTGGGCGGGGCCCCGCCCGCCAGGTGCACGTGGGTGGAGCTTGCTTTGGAAGCCTGGGGGTCACTGGCAACCTGCAGCAGCAGCCCTGCCCTTTGTCACCTTCCCGACCGCTACCTACTACCCCCGACGCCTAGTTAGGTGAAAGGGCGGAGTGTGCAGAGTGCGCCCCCATCGCGGAAGGAGCCGAGAGCGCGGAGGCCAGGCAGACAGTCCGGCTTGTGGGTTCAAAGGCTGGGAAAGGAGCCAGGACAGAAAGCCAGTCTTGGGCGGCGGCGGGACGGTCCGGTCTCCCGCTTCCACCCCCAGACCACGTATCTTCAGAGCTAAAGCCGTGGGTCTGCGGGCTGGGAAAGGGTTGTGGGCAGTCGGAGGGGCGGGGGCCGCGAGGTCTGCGTCGGAGCGGCTAGGAGACCGATGACGTCACAGAGCCCGCTCCAGAGGCAGAACTAGTGAGGCTCGGGAAACTAGCTCTGAGCTCTAGTTCATTCCAGGACCCCCGACAGGAGCCAAGGGCCCCGGGGCACTCGGGAGTCAAGGTGACAGATTCGCGTCAAGGTGAGTCGCTTTGTTCCGAACACCCTCATTAGCCCCCAAATGGAAATTCAAGCAGCCGGCCTTGTCTATTTCCTATGAAAGGCGGGAGAGTGACTGACATCAAGTAACGTCTTGCTCCTGTAGCACACTGCACCTCTTTCATTTTACTGTTTAATTATATACCTCCTTCTCTCTTTTCTAAGCTTCCTGTTAGTAAACTTCTTACAGGTCTTCCCTCCAACCCCAAGGCCCCATCCGCCTTAGACAAGAGGGTTGGTTGCCTTCTGACTGGGTGGGATTGAGACTAGAACCCAAGTTAGAACTATCTTCCAGAAACGCAGTTCAGTACCGTCAAGGGAGCAAAAGGATGCTGTGGAAATGTGCCTGGCCTGTGTTTGTTGGGGTGGGGACGAGTATTGGATGCTGTGGGATTTGGTCCATGGACACTGGAGACAGACTCATGATGACAGAAAAAACAAACAAACATGGAAGACAGATTTTGAGAGTTGTGTGAAACCTCAAAATTAATCTAATCCAAGATGTTTCTTAGGTCACGAAGGTCTTTACACTCTTTCCCTCTGTATTAGTCAGCTAGGGCTTCCATAGCAAAATACCACAGACTGCGTGCCTTAAGCAACAGGAACTTATTGTCTCACAGTTCTGGAGGCTAAAAGTCCAAGATCAAGGTGTCAGCAGGCTTGGTTTTTTCCCCAAGGCATCTCTCCTTGGCTTGCATATTTCTATTGTAAAGATATGTTATTTGCTTTTAATTTCACTAAGTCTTTTTTTTTAAGTATTTCTACCAGTTAATTTAAACTTCATAGATCTTTTTCTAATGAAAAAATGCAAGTTTTCATAGCTAACAAAAGGATTTTAAGAAAAGGATGGAGCAGATGTTCCTTCTTCCCTGAGGCTGCTGAGGGAGTGATACCTCATTATAAAAGAAGTAATCTCCTTAAATGAAGACCTAAATTGAGAATTTTCACAAGAATTTCAGTCTGGTTCTTTACAATATGGAGATAAATGATTCACAAGTTTCACTAACTTGTTCTGTTCTCAGTTAATATAATTTTGTCCTTGGAAGCGTTATTTTAACAAAGAGGAATTGTTAGCTTCCTAAAACTTTAAAATTGTTGCCATGCCTTGGGAAAATAACCCCACTACCAGTTATGTCTTGATAATTTCTTTCCCTGGTAATGTCATTGAAAGATCCATCTTTGTATTCCCCAAAGTTATAAAATTACTTAAAAGATTTATCTGCCAGTTAATATTTTTTTCTTTTGAATGCACGATGGAGTATTTGTAATTCTGTAACTTCCATATTTTATTACTTAACAAATTTGGATTTTTACAAAAACCTTTGTTCTTGAAGAACTGTTCAAACATTTCTTTAGTGGTGCACCTGGAAGAGAAAAAGAGGGGGCTACAACTAGGGGTAAATCCACATAATGTCTAGGGAAGGATGTGTCAGGAGAGAGCAGGTTGGGTCTTGTTGGGTCAGTAGAGCTGCAGTGTGTCTTGGGGGCAACAAGGACTTCTGGCCCCTCAGTGATTCAGAATATTTAGAGGCAAGGGGAGTACAGTAAGGGAAGAGCAGTGCCCTGTGGACTTCACACTAGCTTTTCAGTGAATGGTGTTAAGCCTGAGAACAGAACTGTTTCTCCTCAACCTTAACCCCTGTTCCCAGAGTCCCTCCCAGGTACCAAAGGGAATGACCGAGGCACACTCCCGCTGAGGTGTCTCCCTCTGCTTTATACTAATCTCTTCTCTCCCTCTGTTCCACAGAAGAAAGGAAAATGCAGAGTTTCCAGAAATGCTCATCAAATGGAAAATATGGAGAGAAAAATAGATAATTTGATGTTTTAGCACCATTTATAGGTGGTCGCTTTTAACCAAGGAATATAAAAATCAAATCCAAATTTTCTTCAAAAAGACCATGTTTGGCCACTAATCTAGATGGTGAGGTCAGCAAAGCAAAACAACACTCTAGAGCAATGTAGAGACAAGATAATCTTTTTTTTTTTCAATTTGAGTTTTCATCCATTTGATGGGTGTGAAATGTTTTATCCTGTGATTTTAGTGTGCATTTTCCATGTTATTGAGGTTGAACCTATTTTCATGTGCTTATTCACCACCATTCATGTTTCATCTAAGAAGTGCTTGTTAATCCTTAATATATTCTGTAGGAATTCTTAATATATTCTGGATTCTAATTTTTTGTCAGTTATATTTATGAATATCTTTGCCCAGCTCGTAACTTATCTTTTTACATTTTTAGGCTATCTTGTTCATCTACACAAATTATTGATTTTAATAGCGTCAAATTTGAATTTTAATGTAGTTAAATTTGCCAATCTTTCCCTTTATGGTTTAACTTCTTGGGTCTTGTTTAAAAGGTCTTTCTAGACGCAGTGTGAGGAAGACAGAAGAACACCCTGGACTGGCAAAGCCACCTGCTGAGCCCTGCTGCCACCATGCCCAAGAGAAAGGCCAAAGGAGATGCTAAAGGTGACAAAGTGAAGGTGAAACGTGAGCCACAGAGGAGATCAGCACGGTTGTCTGCAAAACCTGCCCCTCCAAAACCAGAGCCTAAGCCTAGAAAGGCCCCTGCAAAGAAGGGGGAGAAGCTGCCCAAAGGAAGAAAGGGGAAAGCAGACGGTGGCAAGGATGGGAAGGACCCTGCGAAAAGCCGAGCTGACGCCACAGCCCAGCCACAGAAAGCCGAAGGTGCCGGGGATGCCAAGTGAAGTCGACCTTCGTGACAGCTCTGTACTTTGAGTGACTACTGTTTGAAATACTATTTTTAAATCAAATTTTATGAAAATGTAGGATTTTTTCAAGTAATGTTAGCACACAGGACACTTTGCTTTTGTCTTTTGTGGAAAGCGCAAATGGCCACTAATAGAATGTCTCAGAAGCTGGAGTGAAATGGGGGACCTAGGATTTCCTGACCTTGGTTTTGAAGATTACTCTTGGTTTCATCCACATGTTAGCCACTTTGGCTGAGAAGCTTTACAATATGGGGAAGCAAAACTCATGTCATCTCCTTTTCCTGCTGCCATCAGCATATCCCTGACTTCCTGAAACCAAGAGTCATGATGTAGCCTTGGCACCCCTAAAATCAGCTGCGTTGGGTAACAATACTCAGGCTTTCTGGTGGTGGCATCGAGATGATGTTGCTCAAAAGAGCCAAGATTTCTGTTTGTGGTTGGTGGATCCTCCCATTGAGAATCCTGTAGTTTTTAGTTTGTTTCCTCCACATCAGTGAAAAGCTCTTACACGCCTCATGTAAAATGTCTACCACTTCTGAAAAATTTTCCTATTTAATGCAGCAACAGAAGACTGTTGACTTTTTGAGAAGAGTTTAGAAGTTGTAAAATGTTATGGATTGTTTCCCATATCCTGCTGAAAGTAACTATTTTTAAAAATATCTTATAAAGCTGGATACAAATTGGTAGTGGGGGATCATTTCCTACACAAACTCCTAAAGCTACTTTTTACTGCCTTGTAAAAGTTGTATAGTTTTACTTTCACATTTACTTTTAGTCTCCTCTGAACTGATTTTTGTGAAAAGTATGACATAGAAGTTCAATATAATATATTTTTTTTCTACATGGATACGTGGTTATCCCAGCACTATTTTCTGAAAAGTTCATCCTTTCCTCACTGGTCAAGTCTCTCTCTCTCTCTCTCTCTCTCTCTCTCTCTCTCTCTCTCTCTCTCTGTGTTGATGGTATTTCTATTCTGACTCACTGGTCAATTTGTCTAACCTTGTGGCAGTGCTATACAATCCTGAGTACTACAACTTTAGAAAATGGTCTTGATATCTCAAGACAAATCCAACCACCACCTCCAACACCTCCACCAAATTTCTCTTTCTTGGGAGTGTCTTGGTTGTTCTTAGCCATTTGCTCTTCCATTTAACTTCTAGAATTAGACTGACAAGTTCTAAGTCAAACAAATCAAAAAGTGTTGGAATTTTTATTGGATTTATATTGAATTTGTAAATTACAATGTTGAGTCTTTCAATCCATGGACATGGTATAACTCCCATTTATTTAGGATTTTTAAATGTCTTTTAATAAAGTTTTATAATTTTCTCCATAAACATCTTCTTTTATTAATATTTCCTAGGGATTTTGTATTTTTTGATACTACTTTATTTGGCATATTTTTAGATACTACATTTTCTGTTTTTAGCTAATGTTTATTTTTGTATCCAGCAACCTTCCTAAACTCTCATTAATTCTTATATCTCTATAGTCTCTGGGGTTTTCTACATAGACAACCATAGATTCTGTATATATAAACAATTTGTTTTTTCACAGTTCTTATACCCATTTTTTTTCTCATGCTAGGCATTGTCCAAGTGCCTGGGGAGTGGGGAGGGGGTTCAGCAGTGAACAAAACAGTTTCTGCTTTCACCAACTTTACATAAACAACTGTGAGTGAATACTATTTAGCTAGGGTGGTTAGAAAAGTCTTTTCTGATGAGATCACATTTCAGCAGAGCATTTAATGAAGTAGAGGAACACAAGACATGAATATGAGAGGAAAGCATTCCAGCGGAGGGAGAAGCAAATGCAGAGATGATGTGGAAATGTGTTTCGCATGTTGAGGAAGAACTAGGTGGCAGAAATGACTGAATTGGAGTGAGGGTAAGAGTGATAGTTGATATGACTGCAGAGATGACCAGGGGCCAGAAAATGGACGACTTTCTAGGCTGTCAGTTTTCTCTCAAGGTGATGAGATGTTTAGAGTTTTGAACAGAGAGATGACACAATCTAAGTTGTTTGTGTGTGTGGCTGATATGTGGGCAAAATAGGCTGTAAGGGGGAAGAGTTCAAGGAGGAAGACCAGTTAGATGGCTGTCACAACTGAATTGCTGGAAATTCTGCTTTATCGTGTGTATTCTCCTCCCTCTGCTCAAGTATACCCACCCCTGGTTTGTTCAGTAAACAACAAACACTTATCTGTGATTTCATTTTATCAAACAGGTCAGGATTAAAGATAAACATTCTCTGTTCTCAGATTCCAAAGTCAAATGACAAATAAGTTACCACACAGTAGTGTGCAGGAGACCTAACCCTGATGCCAGAACATGAAGGAATATTAGGGAGGGCTTCCTGGGGGATTTTGACAAATAGTAAAATGAAAACAGCAAGGAGTAGGGGTGGGGAAAGGCTTCTAGTAAGAATAATAACTTTTTCAAGATGTTAAGAGAATATGGTGCATAGTAAATGTTCAATAAATTTGTTGAGTCAAAAAATAAATGCATACCTAATTTATATTAGTTTTTTTACAAGATATTTCCTAGGTGCTTATTGTTTGCCAAACACTGTCTGCCCAGTGATTTACATGCATTTTGTTTCTGTGACCCTATGAATCCAATATTAATATCCCCATTTTACTTTGCATTTAGTGACACTGAGGCAAACAGAGATTAAATAACTTGCCTTTTGGTCATAGTGAGTGGGAAAATCCAGAATAAGACCAAAGTCTATAACTCCTCCAGGGCCTAGAAGTTTCCTTATTGTTTAAAACATCACTGGTATATGTCTCAAATATAACCCATCCAAAAAAAAATATATGTAACAGTTTGGTGTTTCTGAGCACATTAAGTAATTTCCCAACATACCGTTAGTGAACTATTAAATGCAAGTAACAATATGCAATAAGCTAAACAGTTGTAATTTCAAATGAAGAAAAGATGATAAACTCCAGGGGGAAAGTGGTCATATGGAATTTTGAGTGTTATTGTATCTCCAGCAACATAAAGCTAGAAGGAATACTGTTTCTGTACAAGGATGCTAATTTTTTAGACAAAAAATATTCCTGAAGTGGGGAAAAGTAAATCAGGAAACCATAACTCAGCCTTTAAACCTCCTTGCCTACTTGCTGATCCATTAGGCACTTACACTCCAATCTGTAAACTCATAAATTAACATCCTGGTTTACAAATATTTTGAGAATTTGGGTGTCTGACATGAAACTGCCTGAGTGATCAATTCTCAATAATCAAATTTCTAACCCCCAAAACTGAGGCACTGGTCCTGGAAGCGTTGGAAAGAAGAGGGAGGAACATTTATTTCCTCATATCCGGCCCCGTCCCTCTTCGTTCGTTCTCAACAGTGGTCACTGCGACCCTCTCAAGACAAACATCAGTCACCTCCAATGGCTCGCCCTCGTCATAAAAGGACCTACGTGAGCCGTACCGGAACTGCCGGAGGACGCAGCCAGACGAGCACGTGATACCACGCCCCCCGGCCGCACCGCACGGACGCACTTCCGGTCCCCTCTAGACCGCTCGGAGGGCCGTCTTCTCGCTGTCCCTGGCGCCGGGCTGTGCGGGATTGCATCCTGATTCCTAGGCGATGGGGTGGTTGCAACTGTGAAGTTCTCTCCCTGAATTGCTTCTCGGACCCTTAGCGGACCTTGCTTGGCTTCGGGTCCCGGGCTGTAATCTAAAGTCCCTTTCGTGAAGTTCGGGCGGACAGGGACTGCCGGCATCAGGAGGTCGCTTCGGAGCGGGACTGCTTAACCTCGTGGGTGCCTGGGAGGCCTCTGGCCTCATGAGGGAGGCCATGGAGCCAGCCTTTTTCGAGATTATATTTTTAAAAGAAATATATATTTTTTAAGTTTTAAAAAATTATACTACAAAACAGTTATCAAACAATTAAAATAATTTGCAATATAGTAAATATGTGTGCTTCTTCATTAATATAATGTATTAAATATTAAACATCAAAACCGGTCTTTTGAAATAATTAAGTAGGAGATATTTGTAACAACTTCATTGTGATATGAAAATGTATGTGATTTTTCTTGGTGACAAAGCCACAGGTACTTCTCTTTGGATTTTAGTTTGTTGCCTACATTCATAAGTGAAGGATATGCTAAATGTCAGTTAGAGGTTAGAGATTTTAAAGATGGAAATTTTGTTCCTCATCCAAGTTCACCAGTCTCCAAGAAACCCTGCAAAAATGCTTAACACAGTGCCTGGCACATTGCAAGTCCCCCTTCCCTCATGTAGATATCAGTAATTTTATTATGTTTTTTACACCAGCTCAAATTTCCTTTAGGTGACATGATGGAGTTAATCACATGAAGTGTTGGATTGGCACAACGATAAATCAGAGTTCAGCCCATTAATTCATACATGTTAACCTAAAAATAAAAGGCCAAAGTGAGAGGTAACAAGCATTTATTTGAGATCAATAAGAATAGCTATTTGGGAAACAGCGATTTAGGCAGAAGCCCTAATAGTGTTCCAATGTGGAGACAAAGGCAGTGGGTATTTATGAGAAGGGGAAGGGGAACAGTTCCAATACTAGAAGGAAGGCATTGCTCTTGGTACAGATAAGCGAACATAGTGGTGCTAACTCCAAACAATGATTTTAATTTTCAGTCCGGTAGCCATTAGTCCAGTAGTCATCTGCTTTCTAGTTATCTTTGCAAATAGTTCTTTGGGACATAGTATTGCTTTAGGCCAAATCTGAAGGTTATCTTGCCCTGTTTCAGCATCCCAAAGGTGGAGATGTAAGACGTGCAAGGCAGTTCCTCTGGGATGGCAGCCCTGGCTCCGTTTATATTATTTTTATTTTCCCCCCTTTTGATTAAGATCTTTCCTTGAAAGCATCGCTGATCAACCTCTGGAAAGCAGCACTGATGGGTTACTAAAGCATCATTTCAGATGGCTCATTTTGGGTATGTCATGCCTGTATGAGTCCCTGGTCACCAGGAAGGCTCAGCCCTGGTGTGGCATGTCCCATGTAGGAAGGAAAGTGGTTTCCTCGGGGCTTTAGGCCACATCTGAGCAACAAGAGCGCCAGCGCAGAGGAAGGCTTTGCTGTCATGTTTCCTTCAGGGCAAACACCTTCTGCAGTTTCTGGAGGTTTCTCAAATGAAGTCTCGTGGGCCTCACTGATCATCACAAAGTGTTGAGTAACCATTATCAGAGTGGTGTCTTTATAACACTGGGCTGTGTAAAACAAAGATTTATGACAGCAAAATTTTCTAAAATAGCAAAATGCTAAGTCCAACTTAAAAAATAAATCTGAATCAGGAGGCAGTGTGTGAGGGCAGTCAGTTGAAGATTTCTCTTTATAGTTAGAAATTAAGGGGGGAAAGGTAACAATAACTATTATAGTGAATGCTTGGTCACTCATGTTATTTATAAGATAGGAAAGAATTACAGTCAGAGAAAAAGGAAAAAAGGCAAAATTAAGGTGTGGATTATACAGGCCTGGTCTGGAACCTTGGGTTGGCTGTCCACAACGTGTGTTGTCTGCTTTATTTCCTGGTAGTTTTAACTTCAAATTCTCTCTTGGTAGACCAGTCCAGTTAGGAGGTTTTCTTTTTTGTAAAGGTTTTGTGCTCATTTGACGATTTTTAATAGCAAGGAAAACCCTAATTTCTTAGTTATCTTCTGGATCCATTAGGGTGAATTTTCTGCTTTGGGCAATTAACAAGTGACTTCTCCATCAAGTGCTGCCAAGCAGGGCAGGAACAAAGTTGGTGCCTATGCACTCAGGTGACCTGAGGCTTTGGGTCATTTCAGGACAGTGGACTTGGATTTAGGGGAAGGGGTGGAGCAGGCAGCATAACACCCATCACCCTGTACTATATGTTATGTTTCATCTCTTTGATTACCCTACAGCCCAGTGTTTCCCCAGGAGGTGGATTTGAAATCAATTTAATGGTGGACAGCACCCAGCATTTTAAAGAATAAGATAGACTCTTATTCTATCTTATCAGAATGCAGCGCTTGTGGCAAGAGTAAGTGGCAATTAGGCAAGTGTTGTTGCTGTTACATGGGTATGTCTGGGTCCAGAGGTAAACTAAACTTCAAACTGGTCCTGGTCAAAAAAGCTGGGAAGCCACTGCCACTAGGCCAAGAGCTCTGAGTGCCAGCCCCACCACCTCTGTCCAGTTAACCTGGGCATCCCCAGGGGTGATCAGAAAGGAACACACTGATGTAGAGAAGAGGGGAGGAGCAGTTTTGCACTTTTGTTGCTTTTCAAGAACGAGTTTGACTCTTGATAACTGGTGACTATTGTTAATGAAACTTGTGGTCTAGATAAAGTGTTTTATGTGTTGTGA